TAGGTTTGGCATATTTGGCTTAGTGTTGCCTAGTTCTTGGAGATTTTTCTTTTGGATGAATTACGTTCATTCAGCAACAGCCCCCCCAAAACACTGTGTTTTGGACAGCTACTTGGGGTTTTGGATATGGATCAATACAGCCGTCTGGAAATAGGGTACATTCCGGAAGGTATAACGAGTGGTGTGTTTTCAGGGTGTTGGTTGGCCCAAGCGGATTGAAATGGGGACCCCAACGGCAGAAATCAACGAGCTTTTTGTCGCACTGTCCATGGTCCATGCCGGTTTGGTGAGGCAGCAGATGGCTTCTCAATTAGATGGGTAGCATCGCGGTTTCTGTTTTCTTCATCGCTTCTTGGTTTTTTTCAGATTCCTTTGCCACGTCCACTCGACGTCGACAGCCTTCTGAACCAGCCCCAACATTGTCAGCTTGTCATTTTGGCCCCAGCCCTAAGCATTTTCCTCCCTTCTCAGACCGATATCCTAACAAATCTCAAACTCCAGTGGGGAACGGCGAGTTTCGCGTCTTGTGAATTGGATCCTTCAGGCGGCAGAAAGTCGCTCCGGGACACAATGGGAGGCCTGGCCTCGAGTCCTTCGCTCGGAGAAGTTGGCATTGCAAAGGGTTTCATTTGCCCAGCGGATCCCAGTTGCCAGTATAGTCGGCGACCAGAAATGGTCCTTTTGGTTTGTCAAGGGTGGTTTCCTTGGTTATTGCTTAGGGACATGGTCCCAGGTAGGTAACCAGCCATTGTCCAATTTTGGTTCGAAAGGGTGGGAAGCCCAGGGAAATGCAAGTTCATAGGGTCAGTTTTCTGGAGGTTGCCGGGGCGCGGGTATTGCGTGATTATTGCAGGGAGGTTAGAGGAAGAGTGTAGGTTTGCTCAAAAGTCCTCAATTGTCTATGGTCAATTTGGGAGGGACGTGGGGCGATCACTAAATGTCCCACAAACACCAGAGACACGAGCCCTAATTGTCCATGTCCGTTGTGGTTTTAAAGGGAAACCAAACAAATGAACTCCACCTTAAACAAGTCACATGGATGGCTCATATTGCAAAACCGAAAGGCAAATGCCAGACAGGCTGGCCGTCGAGCAGGCTGATTGAATCACGCTGTTTTTGCAGGTTGGCTTACCTCAAAGTTAAAAGCGGCCATGCTCGGAACATGACAATTATGCGTGTTCCGGCGACGGCGGTGTTGTTTGAGGGAAACCACCAACAAAAAGATGACATTCCCCACTTTAATTGGGAAAAGTTACTCATGGTCATTTGGAAGCCGAACGGAAGATTGATCAACCCCCCACTTGGAAAAAATGAGAACAGAATTCCAGTAGTGATAGATTCCCTTTTAAAGCGAACAGGGGATTTGTTTGTGTTTTAACACATGCAGGTGAAAAGACAGGGAATCGTATCTTGATCAGGGAGGCAGCCTGGATGAACATGTGACCCATCAAACATGGGGCCGAGCTTCTGTGTGGGCCTGTTCTTTTTTAATGGAACCCTGTTTGGGTTGGTTATAAGGGGAAACCAAAAGGAAAGCCAGCCATGCTTTGGGGTCCAACCTAAGAAAAAGGACACACCTGTGTTGGCATTTCAAGAGATTAGTAACCAAACTGGGGTCAGAAGTTCCGAAGCAGAACCCCTGGTTGAGTATGAGGGAGTCCCCATTGACGGGGAAATCGGATGGGTGACGCCCTAGCAATAGGATGGGGTGTAAATCAATTTGGGGTTCCCGTTATAGACGTTGCGGTTCATCTCCTGATCAAAAAAGGCGCGAGGTTTGCTGAATCGCCTCCGTTTCAGCGGCCAGGAGGGGGCCGGGGGCCCAACGGACAGGAGGTTTCGCTGATGGCAAGAATCAAAAGGGGGCCAAACAACCTCCACCTTCCAAGTGCCAACTTTTACCCTTTTTTGGGGGAGGGTTCCCCTACTAAAATAGACTACAGAAAGAAGTTGGTACCCTTATTCTATCCTCTCTACTGGAGGAGCTAAGGCAAGGGGGTCCCACATTTCAGGACCCACATGGACGAAAGAGGTTTTGGGAGCTGCGGATAGAGCTTCGCGAAACCGGGTATTGGCTGGTGGGTCCTGTTGGTTTTCCTCAACGTTCTCCAAGAAACTGGTTGGCGTTCATGGTTACTTGCTGGACGTGTTTTTTTTGGAGGGTTCTCTTTGGGTTGAAAGGGGAAGCAGCAGGAAGACCATCCATTTTGCGGGTCCCGGTCTTTGACATGGCTCGACTTTCTTCGAGTTTTGCCCGGTTCGTCTCTCAGGCTAGTCGTCTTGCTTGTGACTTCAGGCTGCAAAGCTGCTGGCATGGCAAAGTACTTCCCTGGACCCTGAACTGCCCTTGGCTTATACCCCTAAACTTGTGATGGTTGTTTTTTTTCCTTTTCAAGGGCAGTTTGAGGATCCAGGTAGCTTCTACACATGATTCTCCCATGAACACAACATTGGTTTTAAAGTACCCCATGCCCCCGTTCTCATTATTTACGGTGTCAGCTCTTAACATGGTGACAGGAATGCTCTCAAGGGGCTTATTAGGGTGCACATGCTGCCAGGAAGCAGCGCAGAGTACCCAGCACCGTCCAAGCTTGGTTATCTTGGCGGTTCCGAACCAGCCATCCGGTTCTATAGGTTTCAAGTTTTTAGTGGGTCTCGCGGGGGTTATTTCTCCCACAGGTATTTTTTCCCCATTAGCAGGGGATGTGAGGACAGCCCTGTTCTGTTGGCATTTGTAGGACATTTAGGCGTCAGGCTTTGATGAATAGGCCAGTCCTGGAAAGAGAGTGAGATGGGTAGCCAGCATAGCTTGGCTTCATCCTTTGTAGTCCGGTGCGCAACACTTGTCATAATGTTTCAGTGCATTGCTGCCTGAAAAATGTGCCTGGGAGGATGTGTCGGTTGTTGACTAGGTCCCGCAGTAGTGCCCTGTTACCCTTTTTAGGGGAGGGTTCCCCCACCAAAATAGACTACAGAAAAAATCGGGTGCCCTTATTCCAACCTCTCTACTGGAGGACTGAGTTGCTGCAAGCATCATGGACTTGACTTGAGACGAAGTAACATCGAATGTCCCCCAATTTGCCTCTCTAAGGAGCCGACAAAAACCAGACGGCCAGATGGTGCAAGCTGTGATGCACAAAAACCGGCAATGTGCATGAGAGATGGAGCTAGCTCAATCGCTTTCTTGATTTGACGTGGGTGCAATCCACACAAATACTTGCTCAAGTGTATATTTGATATATATATATATATGTACATCACTTGCTGTAGGGATCCTGGCACTAACAGCAAGGCCTCCACCCCGCCGTTTTCTCGGGATACCTTGTCCGCAGCCTTGTGGTTCCAGCCGGTCTGAGGGATCGATCGATCGCGCAGTCCTGCGATGCTTGCTCCAAGTGGGCCGCGGCCGGCGGTCGTTTCTGCGCGGACGGGAGCGCTGAACTTCTCGCCGATCTTCCCGAGGCTCGGCGCTGAGAACCAGAACCTGAGCTGTTCAGTGGCACCAATTCCTTTTCCCTTTTCTTTTGGTGGTTTGGTGGCTGCGCCACTAAGAATCCGGTAAGTTCCCCAAAAAGGGTTCCCTTTTTTTCCAGGGTCGCTGATCAACTGAGGAACGCCAACCTGGCGGCGGCGGCGATTTGCGTCGCTGCGAGATCATCTGAACGGAGATTTGTCCGGCGGTCAAAAGCGAAGAAGCTGACGGGGAACACAGCAGAAGAAGCTGAGCTTAGCTTCGAGCAGCTCAGAGTTCTTCTTGGAGTCTTGGTTAACCAGGGATCAACTTACTCCTGTTGCTCCGCCAATTGCTTGGATGCTACATGGCTGCGGCTCAAAAAAGTGGTACCAAAATGGCACCTTGGTAAATGGAACCAAAGACTAAATCCCGCGTAACCCCAGCTCTTTAAATTTGAGTCATACCAACATGTTTCATGTTCAAAACAAAGAGTCTTTCGACATTGTGCCATAAAGGGGCTGAAGAAGAGCACCTGCTCGAGCGCATGAAATTCTCGTTGCTCTAGTTCTTTGAACTCCCTTGTAATGCGTCCAGCATACTACTGCGAATGCCATGCCTTTTTCAGGCATATTTTGACTTGGTGGCTTCCAGCCATCCGGTTCCTCAGCCTTTTAGCCTTTTAGTGTTTAGTTCTGAGGGCAGCCCAGTTGAGAAACGGCGTTTTCCGTGGTAAACACAGTTTGTCTTCTTGTAGTCAGAGGCTGACATCATACCCTTGCAGCATGGTTCCCACGCTTGTAGGAGCCCGGGTTGGAGCAAGCTACTTGCATTTTGGCAGGCTGGTCGGACACTCGCACATTCTTGATAGGTCCTGAGGGGGTGTCACTGCGAAAGCATCCCATCTGTCATCAGCAAGCGCGCTCACACTGGCAGATCATTCTGGGTTCGCATAATGACCCCAAATTAATAAGCCCTGCTTATTAATATACTACGTCCCCCAGTAGTGCCCTTTTACCCTTTTTTGGGGGAGGGTTCCCCTGCTAAAATAGACTACAGAAAAAAATCGGGTACCCTTATTCTAACCTCTTTAGTGGAGGACCCAGTATAGGGTGTGTCTCTGGGTTTCACTGGGGGCTCAGAGCGCTTTGAGAGCCCGGGGATATATTTACAAGATCTATTCCTCCGGGGGTAACATGAGCAAAGCGGCTTTTGTCACGCGGCGTCGCGTCTGCGTGGCTGCACTGAGCGCCATACGCTGGTTTCGGCGCCTGGGCGCCTGGTGAGGAAACCCCAAAACATGGGTATGTCACAAGTTCCCTTTCGAGGCATGGCAAGGAGGCGCAAAAACCTCGGAAAACCTGCGGGTATGTCAGGAGTTGTTTGTTCCCTGAGAATCAAACAGATTTGGAGGGTATTTAAGCATATTTTTCCTGAACATCCGGAGATTCGGAGGTTTGGTTGGCCCAGAAACTCGTTTCTTCAAGGAGTCGCGGTGTTACTCTGTGGCGCCAGCGGTTGCTTCCACACGCTTCCCGTCTTCATCGACATGAAGCTGGCGGCGGATCCAGCGCTTCCGGGGCTCACGGCGGAGACGTTGCCATTCAGCGCCACCGCCATCTTCGCGGGGTGGTGACTCGATGTGGCTGTGATTTGTTTGTGTTTTTCTTTTTTCGGGGGAGCCGCCCAAAATAGCTTAAGGCTGACCACATAGAAAAATCAACCAACCAGTTGTTGTTGCTTTTCTTGGGAGGGCAGGGGTTGGGGTGGGGGGGGTTGGGGGGCTTCCCAAAATGGCTGAATGAATGGGTTTTCCTCTTGGCTTCCCTTCAAAACACCCAAAAAGGGAACATATGTTGACCCAGAGAAAAATCAACCGACCAGGGTTTAGTAACGGGGTGGTGTTTGGGCTGATTCCAGCCACTAAACCAGGGACGCCCCCTTTTGATAAACCGGGGTTGACTAATATGGGGTCAACATTAATGGTCTTCCTTTTGGTTTCCCTTTGAAAGCCACAAAGAAGAGGGTAATTACTGAGCTTTACAGGAATGAGGCACCCATGTCCTTTGTTTAGAGACGTCTAAGTTTTCCCGGTTTTATTTGTGGTCCATGGGTCCATGACGTGTCCCTTCACAGGGGGAGTGCCACTGTGGCACACATGGGGATGTGTGTGTACCTTTTGTTTGGACAAGGAAACAGCTTTTTTGTTTTTTTTTGATGCGTCAGCAAGCACCAGCAAAAGTGTTGTGGGTGGTGCAAGATCCACGCCGGGTACCAGTTGGGATGGCTGAAGCCGTTTGAATACTGCGATAAACCGGCAACTGGTGCAGCTGTTTGTCCATCCCAAAACGGGGGGAAGGGGGGTAACCCCTAAATTGTTTAGGGGGGTCAGTGTATCCTGCGGAGGGGTATATGGGGGTATATTGTCAGACATAGCTTTTCGCCCTTTTGGGTGCCTTCCGTTTCCCTTTCAACCTGTCAACCTTTCAACCAGCTGAAGCTTGTTCGTACCTGGACCCTCAAACTGCCTTAAAAATAGCCCATAGCCCCAAAATGATGGTTGGTGATTTCCCTTTTTTAAGTTGGTAGTTTGAGGGTCCAGGCACTCACTTCGGTGTCCCTCATTTCAATATGACATTTTTGGGAGATCAGCTACAGCAAATTTGCTTGTTGGTAGTTGGATGAGTCTAAGCTTTGTTGCATTTTTGCCAACTAATGGGTTTCCCAAATTAAACCACTAGAAGCTATTCACTTTTCGCAGGGGAGCAGAAAGCAAGCGAGTGTTTGTTGAAAACAAGGGGGAGGGTGATTAAATCCAGCTCTTCCAAAGGTAGTCCTTCCCCAAAATTATGGGGGTGTTTGAGGGTGGTAGTATGAGTCGCAGGTTGGTGGGCTCGGTGAGCCTGAAGCAAGCCCTGGAGATGCTGAGCAAAGCGCAGTTCCTCGCCATCTCCTCGGTGCTGCTTTGCTTGTCGACCCTGGCCACGGTGACGCTTCCGCATCTGACGGGTGGAAGCCCGGTTGCAAGCAGCTGCAACCAGGACCCTCAAACTACCCACTTAAAAAGGGGAAGTCACCAACCATACTTGGTCCCCCAGCTGGGTGCCCTTTCTCACAAACTTGGGTGAGGGTTCCCCTACTAAAACAGACTACAGAGAAAGTTGGTACCCTTATTCTAACCTCTCTACTGGAGGACCCAGCGCAGGGGCCGCAGACCCAATTCTTAAGGGCAGTCTGAGGGTCCAGGCAGTTGCCGACCTTGGGATTCGTGGTTCCCTTTAAACAAAAACACCGGGAAAGGGTGCCAGAGAAGCGCTCAGAACCGGACAAACCCCCATCCCAAAAGAACCAATTTGTTTACCTCTTTTTGTTTGATCATTGGGCTCAAAAATTCACCAGCAAAGGGTGCCAACTCTGGAACTCCCCATGGACTTCCACTGGGCTCAGGAAACATCTTCGTCTTCTCGGCCGTGCGCTTCGTGACTGGGCTGTTGTTTGCCACCGGCCCCGTGGGGAACCTCTACGTGCAGGACGTGCAGAAGCCGATTTTAGGTTTGAGGCTGTTTTGGTTCCAAGGGTTTTCCCGGGAAAGACATCGCGTGGCTGTGGGTGACAAAAATCGGTGCCCAAAATGGAACCCGCAATCCTGGGAAGCAACCGCTGTGGTATTACAGAAGGGTAAATCTGGCACAAGCATGTGCAGGACTGCTTGCCGCCCTGCCGCCGCAATCAAGCGATGGCCTTCATCAATACTGCTTACTCGATTATGGCAGTGCTTATGGCCACCAGTTGTGGCATGTTTCAGTTCCTTGACTGGCGGCTAGATGCTTTGCTGTGGTGTGGCTTGCCTCCCTTCTTGGCATTCTTCATTGCTTTCAAGAAGCCGACGGAGTTGTTACAGTCCATTCCTGACACCATCCAATCCAGGACGAACTGCAACAGCAGCAGACCAGGTGAGACTGACAAAATGAGTCCATCCGTCTTACAAGCGGCTCTGAAATTGGCCGTTTGCTTCTTGGCTTGCGGTGTCGGGTCCTATGGTTTAAGCTACTCAGCAGGGAAGCTTTCAGAGAGCCTCTACACCAACTCAGTGCTACTCAACAGCGCAGACATCCTCGGCTACATTGCCGTGCTGGGCGCGGATTCTGTGGGTCGCAAAACCTTCCAGGCTGGGAGCTACTTGTTGGCTGGAGTCAGTTTGCTCCTTTGTGCCATCTTGCAGCCTGGCAGTTGGACCCTCCGCTATTCTTGGTCACATTTTCACGTGGTCTTCATTTTGTGAATGTTTGTTTGCCTATTTTATTGCGAGCTCGTCGCTCCGCGGGGGAGAACGAGCGAAAGCCATGAGAGAGGTCCTTTACTTTGGGATCCAAATCGGATTTCAGCTTTTGGAATCAGAGTAGCTTTTGCAGATCTTGTTGCTGCTCCCGGAAATTCGCTCCCGGAATGTGGTTGAACCAAAGTTGGATTTGTGTTTTTGCAGCTCCTTGGCTCCTTGCAACAAGTGGCAACCACTGGCTATTTGTCCTGATAAAGAGGACCATCATCGCTTGTGCCATGGCGGGTCGGATCTGCCTGAACGTGGCCTGGGCTGAAGGGCACTCTTTTGCTTGTGGTGGGGTTACCTTAAGTTCGAAGGCTTTGCCGGTGTTTATTTCTCAAGTGGCTATTTGCATTGTTTCGAGTAGACCGCTTTACCTCACAAAAAGCAACTTAAGGCATGGTTTCCCAAGGGTTAGGTGGTGAAGAATCAGATTCTTCAACGACTCGACATGTTGCAGGTTCATTATGACGAATCATCAAGTACAAGGACCCTCCAAAGGCTAGACCGGAATCATGGGGGCCTTCTTTGGGTGATTTTTCGGAGGGCGTGTGTCATGTTGGTATAGTCATCCATCTGGCAAGGGACTTGTGCCAACTTTATCAGCTGTACACCCCCTTGGCTTTCCTTACCAACACAAACACACATACCACACAGATAGTACACAGCATACATACCATGCCATACCATATCACACCACACCATACCTTACCATACCATACCATAACATGCCACACATACCATACTACACAGACACAGACACACAAATACCTCGGTTTGGTGTGAGGTAGCCTTCACCACGATCTATGTCGCCTTGGCCGAGATCTTTCCCGAGACCAGCCAGAAGAGCGTGCTGCCCATGTGTCAGATCGCCGCCAGGCGGCTTGGATGCGAGCGCATCGATGGGGCCATCCTCCTGTTGCCTACCCAAACCAACCGGAAAACCAATTGGGGGGATCGCTCCCATCATCCTTTTGCCTACCAAAAGAGGCTTCCCCCGCCACATCCCCACACCCCCCCCAGTCCTCAACCCCACCCACCTCAGCCCACCCCCCACCCCAACCCAACCCCACCCCGCCACAGGCTGGGCGGCGTCTTGGCCCCGCTGAGCGGCACGCTGCCGGCGGCCCTGTCGTGCCCCGCCTTCGGCGCCGCCTGCGTGGTTGCGGCCATGGCCACTCTGAGCCTTCCGGAGACTCGGCTGGATCCGTGGCGCCGATTCTTTTCCCTCTTTTTTTGCGGCTGCCCCACTACAAGTGTTTCTTTTTCCCAAAAAGGGCTCCGTTATTTCCAGGGTCGCTGAACAACTGAGGAGAAGTTGGAGGACACCTGAGCGGTGAATTACCGGGTCGAGACGGCCACGGGTCAAGACGGCCCAGTGGCATTTTCAAGAACGTCGTCAAAAGCATGGTTTCAACCATGGTTTTAAAGTGGTGCACCCAGCTGCTCAGTGGATTCGCCCTTGTTTCAACTCGTGTCTTGGAAGATCCAATTCCTTTAAACTCAACCAAAAAAGGATGATGGCCACTGGGCATCTGAGATAAATCCCGAAGCAGTTCAGTCAATATCTCACAACCTGAGTAATGTTATTTTTTTCAAACCAAGACTCATGTTGACTTTTTTGTCCAGCCCAGCCTGAAGAGCAATCAATACCCTCCACGGGTGCGAAATCCTCTCAGGCACCGTTCAGAAACCCTGGAATGATTCGATTCCCCCTGTAAATCACAACAAGCGTTGTGATAATTCAGGTTTCAACCATGGTTTCAAAGTGCAGTGGATTCCGCTCTCTCTTTTTTTGGAAGGGATTCGACTCCTTCAAACTCAACCAGCCAAAAAAGCATGCCCCTTTTTTCCCATGGCCACTGGGCAGAGAAGACCCAAGGAATTTCAATCAACATGGCTTGGACTTTTAGTCAACAGTAGCTGGTGGATATGAATCCCCACCAAAATCACGTCCAAGAGATTTCAATGAATATATGGGGGTTGATCAAAAGGCCCGTTTACAAGTTTGTATTTTTTAGGCACCCAGACTCCCTGAGTACTTATGAACTTTTTGGGTTTGGACCATTGAACAACAAGTCGTTCCAATCCACTCGATCGGAAGTGTGATACGTGGGGGGTTGACCAAAAGCTCCTTTGCATGACGGTTAGGGAGATCACCCACCAAAAAAATGACTTTCGCCACATGGGAAGAGTTGCCCGTGATCCGAACGGAATATTGACCAACCCCCATATGCTCATCTGCCCAAAGCCAAGATTTGCAATCAACATCAAGGAGACTTATCGACAATGACCGCATGGCCATTGAATTGCTGCACAACCTTGTACTATGTGTCTGTTTGTTTTTAGGGGCCCCAAACAACATGTGTTTCCTTCTTGGCTTCCCGAAAACAAACCACCAACACCTGGGGTCCCCCAAAAAAAAGACATCCATACATGCTCACTTGCCTAAATCGAATCGACCTTCTGACCTTTGACTTTCCCATTTCCGGCAACCATTTTCGTCATGGTCCCAAAGGGTTGGGCTTTAATCTCTGGATCCATTGGGCTTCCGAGATCTGGAACCACCTAAAAGGGGTAACCCAAAAGCCTCTAAGCAGAGATGAGAAGAAATCCCATCCAACGATGAGTTACCAACAGCACAGTGAGACCCCTTAACAGGGGAGAACAGCCAAGAAGAATCTCTGGGAGAATGTAGTTTCAGCTCGAATCTGCCAAGAGTGCGATGGCAGAATTCTTACAAATAGCTGCCTTCCGAGCTGTTTGAGATGACCGCACCCTGTTGGGGACAAAGCTCTCCGTCCGCGCAAATCAGTTCCGATGAGTTCCACCCACGACCGAGAAAAAGCGGTGGACGGGTTCTGCGAGAGGTTTGACCCAATTGAGGCCCGCAACTCCGTAAGACAATTAATTCGGGGTTCTAGTGATACGTGTTCCCAAAGGTGATGGGTAGTAACAGGGCATATGAATATATATATATATATATTAGATTTATGCATACATAGATATATTAGCATAAGCTAACATAATAAGATAACACAACATATAGCAATATATACCAATGGAGCAATACACTACAGAAATGTGAAGTTTGCCTGGTGGCACCGTGAGAAATACTGCCTGTTCAATTCAACGCATCTTCCACACGCTATATTTGTTTTGCACATGGTGTGTTGGCTTGCGGTTAGGATGTTGCAAAGAGTGTGAGTTGGCTAGCGAGTGCAGCTTAGCGAATCTGTCACTACTGCATGAACATGGACATATTGTTTGTCTTTTTTGCAGGGGACCTCTGCTACTGGAGCTGGGCCTGCTATTTTGACTGCTCTACAAGAGGTGTCAAAGTGAGTTCGGGTTCCTCTTCCAATAGGGCCAAGAAAATCGCCGGGCCAGTGGAGGTCGGTGGTCTGCTGTGGGCGTTTCTCGCGCAGCGGGGACGTTTCTGCCGTGGGGTGGCCGGCGAGCTCCCGAACGTTTCGGGGACGTTTCGGGGTGGCCTTGGCCGTGCTGCTGATGGCTTCGCGAAATCCATTTCGCACCACTTCAGAAGCCATGGGTTTCCAGAACGTTTGTGGGGTAATTGTTTACGAATCATTCCAGGGTTTCTGAATGGTGGCGCGAAATGGAGTTCGCAGCCATCCACAGTATCACAGTTGTGCATCGTGGCTGGTTTTTGTTTGTGCTATTTTTGAAGCTCCGTTCTGGTGATGCCGAGATGTCCCCAACCACAAAGCATGGGGCCGTGTTTTTTTGGGGGGGTCTCCTCAGCGACCGAGTGAGGCGCAAGCGATCCAGATGCGGATCCACCGGAAGGCTCCTGCTTGTTGGAATGTTTTCGCAGATTTGGACACGGGGAAGCGGCATGTCTCACTTCCTGAGTTGATGGACTTTAATTCTTTTGGAAAGACCATTTTAGTGGTAAATAAAAAGTTCAGACTTGTTTTGGCCAGTCAACTTGGGAAGTGAGATGTTTTGGAGGTTGCTGGAAAGGGATTGACATCGACCGTGATCAAAGGTCAAAGACTCCCAATCGCTGGTGAACTTTGCGCAACTCAATGCCCGATGGAGAGTACGCGGAAAACCAGGATGTTTTGAACCCCCCCCCCTCTTGGACCCCTTGGATGAAAGGGGCGGGGGTTGGGTAATCTACCCCCGAGGCCACCTCCGAAGCGGAAGGGAAGGGTGTAAATCGCCGGGGAGTGAAAGGAGCTCAACCGCGCACCCTCCACCCCATAGACTTAAACCCATAGACTTAACGCCTTTTGGGGGGGATGAGCCAATTCTGGGTTAAAGTCTACCCTGCAGTCGAAAGGAACCCTGCTCCCACTCAGATAGCAACTGGGGTTGAAGGGGGCCCTTGTCGGGTGCCATGTTCGTGGAAGGGAGGGTAAGTCCTTTTCTGGGACTCCTGTATTCAGGTTGGTGAGTTCGCCAATTAAACGGCTTCCTCACGGCATCAGCTGTAAGGATTGCGGCAGGCAACTACCCCTATATCGCTGCATGGTCCTGCGCGCTTTTTCTGCAGATGCGGAGCTTGCCCGGATCGCCTATGGTGCCTTTGAGCGCCCGAAGCCTCGGGCTGGTGCTGACAAGCATCCAACAGGCAGAGGTTCCAAGAGGGCCCCACTGGTTCCTGAGGGTTGCTGTTGGGGGCGCAAAGGGTGCTTTGGTAGCCTTCGGCACAAAGAAACACCGGGAAAAGGGTTCTGTGCAGTTCCGTGTTCGGGGAAGCCTTTGATTGAGGGTTTGTCTCCTGAAAAGTCTTTACCCTGAAGTATCCCCCCCCCCCTCACCCCCCCGGCGTTTTGGGCCAAGCTTATGAATTCCATATCGGCTCGTTTGGGCTGGCAAGTTTGCGGATCAACTGACTGATAAGCAGGTTCTGCAGCTTTGCGCATTCCGAGCTGTTTCAATTGGCATATTGCGTACAGACAGGCCATGGACTTCTGAAGGTCAAATGGGTCGATTTAAAACCCCCACACCTTTTTCGTTATCTAAGGCATGTGTCCCGTAGCTTGTTTTGCAGATCCACACCCACTGAGAACCGATGACGAGGAACAAATGGCATAAATCGATAGCTTTAGAAGCCAGGAAGACACAGTCGGTTCGAATCGTCTTGGTTTGTGAGCTGCACCCTGTGTTGAGCAGCTATAGGAGGCTGCTAAACTAGGTCCCAGTCGTGCCCCTTGACCGTTTCTTTTTTGGGGGAGGGTTTCCCTACTAAAATAGACTACACAAAAACGGGTACCCCGGCCCCAACCGGTAAACCGAGGTTCCGGAGGGGAAACTTACAGGCCCCGTGAACCGACACTCAAAACAGATACTCATTCGATACCTACCCGATACTCATGCCTGCCAAATCCAACCAGGTGCCCAGTAGTTTGGCTTGCTATCTGATCAACTCCTCGAGTTCCTCTTCCTGACCGAATCCGCTTTTGAAACACGGCTGCCTGCTTTTCCTATGCGTGTCACGTAACCACGCCAACGACTTATATAGCGCACTTAACAACTCGTTGCCCCCAACACATTGTAAACCGATGCAAAGGGCACAGAAACGTTACTAAACGATAGGAGGGTATAAGGGTACAAAGGTTTCACACGGGGTAGTTATTTCAGCCCAAATGGTCAACTGGCTGATTGGGGTGTTTCAACAAAATGTCATCTTGTTTGCATGGCTTATTGCTAAACAGCCTATTATATTTCAATATGCTGAAACTACCACGGGGTTGCTCCAAGATTTTCGCAAGCTAAGAGTAGCCGGAAATATAATACCAGATTTCTGTTAGGTTTCCCCAAGAGCCCTCGTGTGTTTTGTCCGAAGTCCCCATTGGGTGTGTCGTTGTTTAAGCCTCAAAACCTGTTGGTTTCCCTTTGCCACCAGGGGGACCGAGCCTCAACAAAAGGCGATCCACCCTGTATCATCAAGAGCAGAACTCTGCTTCTGGGAGGGGGGGGGATTTGCACCAATTGGATGTGGTTCGAAAGAAGGTAACCCTAAAATGGAACCCGAAATGGAAGGACTGAAACCTGATTTTCCATATCCTGGGTGACTAATTTGACCCATGCCCATTTCTCACGCAGCTCAATTCCCAGCCACGCGCCCATGCTGAGGTGGAGGTTGACTGGGACTCATCGCCCAGCCGAAGCCCTGCGCAGGCCCCAACAAAAACCATCGCCCGGCGCCTTTCGCTTGGGTTTGCTGAGCCAAAGGACACCGGGCATGGCGACAAACCCAAGTTCCGGAGGCTTCCCAGCGAGTCGTCCGGCTTTTTGTTCTTGCATCTGTGGGTTTCGTGGTTGGGTTCCGAATGCCAAGAGTGTTCAACTTGTAGCAGCGGATCTGAGGACGACGTTTAGGAAATTTGAAAACGAGGAAAGCTTATGGGAATGGGATGAAATTGGGGGTCCGGGGGACCGTTTCAAGGATATTATTTCTGTCAAAAAGGGATTTCCCAGCTTGCTCCAAATGACAAGCACGCGCGTATCCTAGAAACCAGATGGTTTGGAAGTTAGTTGGGGTAAGGCCTGAACCCTTCGGCAGATGAGTTTGGGCTTCCCGTGTTGCAGTTGTGTCCCATGCAGGGAGGAGTAGGGAGCTCTCTGCTTTTGGACCACCCGAAGAATGGCGGGCGCAAAAAAACAAAATCCTGTACGGCGGGGCTAAACCCATGCTTTTTCCCAGTTGGGGACGTCAGAGGCATTGTTGGAGCCTGATTTTTGAGTGGTTCAAAGTGTGGCAACTTAAAGGGAAACCATATAGCTGTGGCTCAAAAAATCAGTACCCAAATGGATTCCTGGCAAGTGGAAACATGGACCAACACCTGCGTAACCCCTCCTGTTTTATTTTGAGCCACGCCCAATTAGCTTGGGACCTGGCCCAATCTAGAAAAATATCAAAAACTGAAGAAAAAAAAACGTAAAGAACAATTAGAAACAAAGGAAAAGAAGAAAGCATAAATTAAAGTTAAATATATTTTTCCTCTGGGGACGAGTCCGACTCGGCAAATTCTGCCAGCGCAGGACTCCACGCGCACGTCCCGGTCGAGGAGCGGGATGGGGGGGATGTGGTCAGGAAGGAGTGTTCCCCTGCAACACATGGCTGTGGGTCAAAAAAAAGGTACCCAAAATGGAACCCTGGTAAATGGAATCAAACACTAAAACACGCGGTCCCCTGGTGGTTTTATCGTGGACCTACTGTGGATGGTTGCGAAATCCCATTTCGCAGCGCCCAGGAAACTCAACGGTTTCTGATTCGATTCCACTATCAACAAACACTGGGTTTCAACCATGGCTCCGAAGTGGTGCAGGATTTCGTCCATCCACAGTATGGGTATGAGTCGAAACAGGAAACCCTCAGCTTGGTGGTGTTATCTTGCTTGGTTTCCCTTTAAACCAACCTGAAAAGGGTACCTTTAAAGAAGGAAAGCCACATGCAAGATGTGGGTCTTCAAACTGGTCGGGTTCCTTCAAGTTCTTTGTGCCATCGCGAAGATTCCGCCGTTTGCAATGTAAGCCGAGTCAAAAGGCTCCAGAAAATCTGAGTACCTTGTACTGGGAGCCTCTAGGTTGAATAGTTTGCCCAGAACCTGACCCATTTGGACCCGGGCGCCAAGCTTAAGCCAGGACTAAAATCGAACCAAGCCATCAACTAGGCCACTGTTGAAGGGGCCAAAAACCACCCCCATTAACAAACCGGGGTTTATGAATCCGGGGTCAACATCTGATCTGTTCTTTGGAGAGCCACAGAGTCAACAGGCTTGGCGTACTTCACCAGGCTGTAATGTCATTACTTGGTGCATTTTGTTTGGATGCTAAGACTTTCACTTTTTGCCACTCAACCACTAACAGTTAAACTTTCAGCAGGGGAGCAGACAGCAACCGAGATTACTTGCATAAAGCCCTCAGAAGAAACATTCCAACAATATCCGTCTCCTTTGGTGTTCGAGCCAGCCAGGTCCCAGTCTCGCCCTGGCAGCCCGGCTTTTGTGAGCACCGAGGCGCGGGGAAGCGAATCAGCAGAGCCACCCCTTGCTGCGGGGTAGCTGGACACCTCCGCTTGCGTTTTGCTTTCGTGCCTGAAAAGAAGCAAGCTGCCAGGAGTCCCACAAGCAGATGGTAGGCAAGCTGAAAGATGCTCAGCTGGACCCTGATGATAGAGAAGAACCCCTAAGAACACCTCAGTTGCCCAAAGCCGACCTTTTGACCTTTTGCCCAGAGCCTTCGGGCGCCAGCGAATACAGAACCCAAATGCCCCCAACAGCCCCGGAATTTTGCGGAAGCCCAAGCCTCCTTTTGAACGCTCCGTGAAAGCTGCTCCAATCGCAGAGCTTATTTGTGGCAGAGACTCCAAAGCTTTCAGCAGGAGTTTCTTCCAAAAGCACCCAGCAACTCGTGCCAAAAAACAACACCAAACACCAAAAGCACAATGCAGAGCCACACGACTTCCATTTGCTGCTTTGCTCCTTGGAAAATAGGAGAACATTATGTCCAGTAGTGAACTCGATTCCAAGAGAAAATAACCGCAAATCTTTAGTTTTGGCCAATGCAACAAGGGGGTTTAGTTCAGACATTCGCGTGTGGTGGGTCTATGTCGCGCGTTTCGGACATGAAGACCTGGGCCAGCAACGAAGCCCCGCCGTTTTCCGCTCGCCGGGCGATCGCTGGCGGTCGGCGCAGGTGGCTCGGAGCCGGCTGTCCGAGGCGCTGAGGCGGCGGAAGATGGAGGAGCTGGAGGCGGGGGATGGGAATGTAGGGGTTGATTCCCCACCATTTCGGGGGGGTTAGGGGTTTAGGGGTTTAGGGGTTTAGGGGTTTTGGGGTTTAGGGGTTTCGGGGTTTAGGGGTTTCGGGAAGTTTCAACTTCCGGCCGTCCAACCAGGTTCCACCCTGGACGAGACATGTCGTTCGCAATTTCTGTCTGACCTCCAGACTACCCGTCGGGCAATGCTGGCTGCATTCGGGTCCATCCTCGCCGTGGCTCAGGACCTTGACAGGATCCAGCCCACGTCTGCCGAGACAATCACGCTGCCAGTCAAGCTGCTCAACAGGAGCCACCTGTACTCACAGGTGACCGGCCATCGGACGTGGGAAGAGAGCTTTGGTTCAGGCCAGACGCCAGATGGGCGACCTCTCACCCCCAAAGCCAAGGCGCAGATGCTCCAGGCAGCACTCCTTCTCCGTCACCTGTTGTTTCCGGGATACGGGATCATCCCACCTGGAGCCCCCTCCAAGCCCTCCACCGTGCGGAGTAAGGATGCGCTACTTCCAGCGCCATGGCTTGCGTTCCTCCTCAATGAGTTGCTAGCCCTTGGCAAGCACAGTCTGCCGTACATTCGGCTCAGGTCCTCAACGACCTCGTGCGGCACCTTTGGAGCGCGCTCCAAGCTCTGCAGGTTGCTGAATATCCTGCCAACGATCAGCCTCGGCACAGAGGTGAAGTCTCTTGTCCAAGAGGTGACGGTCAGTTTCATTACTCGACTGGCCTCGAGCTCGGCAGCTATGGTCAGTGCCATAGGGGATCTTTCATCGCTTGCGCGCACCTCTTCTGTGATTGCGCCTTTTGCCGCAACGCGATCCGAGGGCTTTGTCAAGGCTTTTTGGCACGAGTCGCTGAGCAGTCCAGCCTTTTCTGCATTTCGCCATGTTAACTGGGCCCTCAGAAGGCCATACTGAACAGAAGGAGGAGGCTTCACCCCCGGAGGTTGCTTCTCTCCCACATCCTTCAAGCGCTGAGTTCCAAGAATTTCTGGCTTGGAAAAACGCGCGTTCAGCTCCTTCTACAGCATCCAATGCACCGGAGACCAAGAAGCAGAAATGTGACGCAGATCTGAATGCTTTCATTGATGAGTTGTTACCACTTGGCCTTGAGCTGATGGACATGGATCCTCAACTTCGCCATCAGTTGGAGACCTCTCAGCAGGCCAGAGATGATTTCCGTGCTCTTCACATGCGTTCTAGCAATTCCAAGGCCTTTGATACTGAGACAGGTGCTTTTGTCGACCTCGGCATCAGTCGTAAGCGCCCCTTTGAGGACGCACCCACGGTGGACATTCCGAATTCCCTCGACACTACAGCAGAGAGAAGCATTAAAGAAGTTATGAGCGACTATCACTCCGGCACCTTCCTCCCCAGCCTGAACACCTTGTTGGAGGCATGTCAGCAGTTTTACAGCTTTGCCTCGTCTGAGTTTGCGGGCAGTCAGCTACGCCTCGACATGCAGGATTCTCGTCTCAAGTCCTTGGAGGCCTCAAGGGCCAATCGTACTGTCCTTTTGCGCGGGCTGCCGGCAACAGGCTTCAACCGAGCAATTCTGGATAGACATATGAAGATGTTTCTTGAAGCCGCTTCGCTTTCATGGAGTGACGTTTCGGCAATGCACAACCATATCGTCTCCAGCGATTCGTCCATTCTCAGGGTCGAGTTTGTCACAGAGATTTCTCGCAGAAATTTTCTGCACTCCATGCGTTCGCGCAAGTGGACGTGGCGATTTGACTGGCACGAGTCCAAGGTCAGGGTAGAGCATGATGTCTCTACAGACGACCGCCTTGCCGTGCAGCCTTTTTATGCTCTTGTCGATATCTTTTCTCAGTTTTTCGGACAGGGTGATGCGTCCCCGCTGCAATTGGACCGCAACACCCTTCAGATCTGGCCATCTCGGGATGCTCCCGACCAGACCATGCTGGCCCAGGTGGCCTATGTACTTGACCCAAGCACTGTGCGTAAGTATGCTTGCGCCATCTACATCCTCGACAAGCGCTACACCCTGGTCCTGGAGAAGTTTGCCGTCGCGTTTCGAACGCGCATGCGCTCCACCCTGTTGTTGGTCCAAGGCCTCCAGCGTGCAGTGTCTGACCGAACCACTCTGGCCAGGCATGCCTATGACAAGGCGTTTGACCTTGCGAACGTGTCCAACCCGTTGGTCCATTTTCCTTATCAGGTCATTCCTATTCAGATGTCCACTTCACTGTCGAAGATGCAGGAGCAGCACCCTTCGCTCCCAATGCAGGGTCAGTCTGGGCTCTTGGCGGTTGTTTCCCAGGCTTTTGCAGATTCAGGCATCAACGCCGACGATTACGGCAAGAATGCTGGCAAGGCCAAGCATTCTGTGCAGAAGGGAAAAGTCGGCAAGGGAACAGGTCGCGGCCAGGGTGCTCAGGCCTCCGCCCCGGCAAAGGGCAAGGTTTTGAAGGGCTCCAAAGGCAGGTCAGTGTGGTCTGATCGTACCCCGGATCAGAGTAGTTGGCAGAAGGACTATCGCTGGGATGGTGGCGGAGATGGTGGCGGAGACGGTGGGAATGAGTCTTGGGGTGGATGGAGGGGTTCTACTGGTTGGAGTTCCTCCAATGACCCTTGGGCGCAGTCGGCTGACAAGGGCCGTGGCAATAACAGCCACTACACTGGTCGCCAGTCATCCTTCAGGGGGACACGTGGCTCTACCGTGCTTGAAGTGGTACTCTGCCAGATTTGCCTATGCGCCTTGGGTGTCAACAAAGCGTGTGACAAGTGTGCCGGCTCCAGCTTGCCGCCCAGCTTCACTCACAAGCAATCCTGGCCCGTTGAGCTTGTTTACTGCCCAGGCGCCTTCAATGGCGGGATCTGTGAGGCCCCTTTGGGGTTTGGCAAGTGCTCCAGGGAATGGAACCATCATCATAGATCTCCCAAGTTGGCATTTGAAAGGGGGATACCAGCGTCTGCAGCAACGGCAGGAAAGTAGGTGCGTCAAAGGCTGAGCAAATCCATCTGGCGGCCCACTGCTCTTTATCAAGTTCTGGAACTGGAACATCATGGAAGAAAGAAAACAGCGTGTCCAACGCGTTCTTCAGTAGACTGGGCTCAAACTGCAAAGAGCGCATAGAAGAAACCGTACGGGCAAGCTGCAATATCTGGGCCTTGCGGATAGGAGGTAGCTGAACCCAGGTTGACTGATGTGTCTCGCTCCTCCAAAACTGCTGGTGCTCAAAGCAAAGGCCCTAGCAACTTCTTTGGGTTCCCGCACTTGCTGGATCATTCCATACTTGCTCACTTTTTTGCTGAGTTGACCCGTGATGAGTGGTCACAGCGCCATGGTTCTTACCGGCTCACCTGGTCAATTGGTCAGTGGGCAGCTTCAGCAGATGTACGCTATTCTCACATTTTGCCATGGGATGAGCTTATAGCATGCTCGATTAGTTTTGCTTTGGAAGATGTTCAGCTTCAAACCAGCCGTCCAGGCCCCTCTGGAGACAAGTGGCATGTGGACATTTTTGATTATTTGATTTTACCATTGCGGTCTACTATCACTACGGATTTCGTTGACGCACTGTCTGCTGAGCTGGCCTCTCTAGTTTCTGCTGAGAGTTCCTACAAGGACCTTTTCATGGGGAACCCGCCCTTCACCAACGTAGCTCTCAAGGGTTTGGCTGCTTTTGGCTCCAATCTGATTGATGGTGCATACTTGCAGATTTCACGCGTATTTGGCATACATGGTTCAGGACAGGACAGTGCTCAACTACAATTTCCCAACGAACAGCTTGTGATTTTCTTTGCTTCGACGGCGCAGTTCCTTCGCCTCCCACAGCTTCAGGCATCAACCCCCTTGCAGCAATCTCGAAGTATCATGTCAACACTGCTTTACTTGGTTGCGGAGGATGGTTACCACCTTCTCTTTTGGCGAATTATTTGGGTTTCACTTCAGCTACAATTCTCAAACTCTTCTTTTGCTTGGGTGGAGCGGGTAAAGTCCTGACTATCACCCTTGGATCATGCGCTTGGAACAAATCCTGTCAGCATTGCTGTGCTTGAACTCGTGAATCTGTGTTCTGATTCGGAGGGAAACTTTTCCTTTGGGTTGCAGCTGGCTCTTGTGGTTCCGCTCCGTTTCATTTCAGGCAGTTGTGTCGCGTGCTTCAGTAACAGACCAGCTCCGGTTTTTGTCAACGTGGAGACAACCCCCCTTTTACCAGGTCGGAGATTCCCTCGGCTGGCCTTAGAAATATGTCTCACTGGTGGTATGTCCGGCTTATTTAATGAATTTTGCTTGTCTCCTTCGCTTTACGGGTTCTTTGCCTCTTTTGCCCGTGGTTTGGCCTCTCAGGTCCTTGAGGCCCCCTTCAGCACTACGGCAGAATTTGACATTACGGATGGCTGTTCGGTTGTTTTGTTTGTCTTTCTTTGTCGTTTTGCTCTCTTCTCTTGCTTTCCCTTGTTGTGCGCCTGCTTCTCTTTTTGCTGCTTTTGTTTGTTGCTGTTTTGCCCTTGGTCTCGTTCCTCTCCCTCTGTTTCCTTGTTGCTTGCTGTTTTTTGCTTCGCCCCTTCCTTTCTTTGTTTCCTGTGTGTGGTTCTCCGTTGGTTCGTTTCTCGTTTTTCTCGCAACCGTCTCTTGCATGCCCTTTTGGGCAATTCTGTTTGTCCCCACTGCTCCTGCTCGCTCATCTCCACGCCTTTGCCCGGCGTTCCTCGGCGGTTCCGAAGCGAGGGTATTGCTCTTCCCAATGGTATGGTTGTTCATCATTTCCGGAATTGTCACTCCCACCTTTGCCTTTGGTACTTTAGGCGTGGAGTTCGGTATTATGGCGTTTTTACTTCCAACAAGAAGCATAATCTCCTTTCTATCCTCAGCGACGCGAGGGCTGCCAGCGGCAAGCCGGGAGGCCACGGCACCTTTTTAGCTCAGTTTTTCTCCACTTACACTCGCTCGCTCCGTCAGCATGTTGCAAGTGGCCACGAACCTCGCAGTGCGTCGGGGGGGGAGGTAG